AAAAAAAAAAAAGTCACAGTGCCCCTTATGAGGTGACATCCAGAGATGGGATATAAAATGTGGCCCTGCCCATTCCACTAAAATCCACACCCTCTTAAGGCCCTGAAGAAATCAGGCCAGGAGCTAAGGTGATGGCTCTCGATCACCACACATTGGAATCATCTGAGGAGTTTCCAAAATTTCAGGGATTCCAACCCCCACCAATTTAAAAGCAACTTTAGGGATGAGATCCAGGAAAACATGTTTTAAAATATCCCCAGGCAGACTGAATGTGTAGAACCACTGAGCTAAAGAAAATCAGGAAGCCAGGCGCAGTGGCTCACGCCTGTAATCCTAACACTTTGGGAGGCTGGGGAGGGCGGATCACCGGAGGTCAGGAGTTTGAGACCAGCCTGGCCAACATGGTGAAACCCCATCGCTACTAAAAATACAACACAATAGCCAGGTGTGGTGGCAGGTGCCTGTAATCCCAGCTACTTGGGAGGCTGAGGCAGGAGAATCACTTGAACCTGGGAGGCTCCTGGGAGTGCTGAGATCATCCCACTGCACTCCAGCCTGGGCGACACATCAAGACTCTGTCTCCAAAACAAAAAAAGAGAAAAAGAAAAAAGAAAATCAGGCTGGGGGACAAAAAGAGAAAGAAAGGGAAAGACTGCCTGTCTCCCCTTCCTCCAGGTTCATTATACTTAGGCTGGAAGGAGCAGGGGCTCCTCGGGTGACAGTGGGGCCATCCAGGATGGATGGAGCCCTCAGAAATGTGAGGGATCCAAATGTGGATTCTGTGAGCAGGTGCAATTTTCCCCCAGACAGTGTGGCCTCTTTGAGTCTATGGAAAGAACGAGTCTTGGGCTCAGGTCCCATTCTTAAAGCTGTGAAAGGAAGCGACTGTTTGAGGGCATAAGCAAAGCTCTGAAAACATCTGCTGAGAAATTCCCCAAACCCTAGGCCAGACATTAAAGGACTCTTTCTAAAAGTAAGTTATTTTAATTTTTTTTTTCTTAAACAAAGACCCACCACTGAATTCTTTCTTGAGGAAGTACTGGAAGCTCTGTCGACCTTTAGGGTCTCGGATCAATTCGCTGAAGTTGAAGGCCCATCGTTCCACTCGCATCTTGGTTGGGATTTCCACCCTGCAAGGATGATTTGTAAAGGCACCAGATAGGTAGGGGTTGTGCCAGGCGGTGGCCTGGGTTGGGGTAAGGGGCTTTAGTCGAATGGCCCTTAGGGCTCAGTCCAATCCTCCTCCTCCTCCCAATCCCTGCATAACACACAAGCCAAGTAATTACTTGCTAGGAAGATTCAGCCACAGACAAGTCCCCTGGGGCTCACATCAAAGACATGACCATCCCAGAGGTGAGGAGCATGCCCAGTGTGGGGATCCCACACTCAGGTCCTGCTCGCTTAGCCTTAAGGACAAACGAATTCAAATGCCTCCTCCAAGGCCTGGTAACAGCCTGGAGCCTGGCCAGCAGAGGGTCAGGCTGCCACCTGGATCAGGAGAGAATTCTGGAGCAGCATTGGTGATGGGTGCCACAATCACTGCCACCTGCTGGGTGCCTATCACCCACGACAGCTGCCCCTCCACCATGGCACGCCCTGGCTTCTGGTGGAAGCTGGTGGCTCCTCCTGTACCTGCCTCAGGCCACGTGCCTCAGAGTAGACCCATTTGCTGTCTCTGCACTCCCTTTCAGGGCGTCCTCTAAGATGCAGGTCCCACTGCGTTCCTTGTTTGAAAAGATTTCCCTGATCCCAGGTAGGACATTCGAGCCCAGCTAGCAGAGATCTAACATTCCAGAGAATCAGAAAAAGACTCAGTTTTCTCCCCTATCCCTTACGGAATTCTCCTAAACCTAACACAGACCTTTGAAACTAAGGTTTCAAGTCCATCACACCATGTTTCCCACTGATGTAGCAGCTAGGACCAGAACCAGGCACAATTCATGTCTATGGGATCCAAGATAAAGCCTGCCAAGCAAGTTTTACACTTTCCTTAAGAACAAGTGTAGAAACAATAAGAAATCCGATAACACTAACAGCTGCCATTCACAAAGCATTGTCCTATATGAAGTACTGTGTGTTACACACATACCATTGAATCCTTAAAAAAACACTAGGAGTTGAGTATTACTATCCCATTTTATTGTCAAGAAAACTGAGGCTCAAAGAGGTTAAATATTTGCCAAGTCTCACATAATTAGTAAGAAGCTGAGTTGTGATGACGACAGGGGTTTGCAAACTTCCACATGCATCAGAATCACCTGGAAGACGCATTGAAACAGATTGCTGGGTCCCAACCTCACAGGTTCTGATTCAGTAGGAGTGGGTGGGGCCCAAGAATACGCACGTCTGACAGGTTCCCTGGTGCTGTGGATGCCGCTGGTCCAGGGACCACACTGGGAATCAATGCTCTAAACCAGCCTCAGAATCCTGGCTGCTTGTGAAAATCAGCAGAGCTTTCAAAAAAACACCGATAGGGGTGAGAGAGCAACCCAGGCCAATTAAATAAGAGGTTTGGGAGGATAAGGCCTGAATATTTATGTTTTTGTTAAGCTTCCCCAATAATCGTAATAATGTTCTAAAATCTAAATCATTAAGAACAAGACTTCCCACTTTCATGGGAGCTAAGCTACGAGGATGCAAAGGCGTAAGGAATTACACAACGGACTTCAGGGACTCAGGGGAAAAGGGTGAAAAGGGAGTGAGCGATAAAAGACTACAAATTGGGTTCAGTGTATACTGCTCAGGTGACAGGTGCACCAAAAAAAAAAAAAATATATATATATATATATATATAAAATAGGTTCAATAAACATATAGGATCCACAATAAAGAACAGGGCTTCCCACTTTAACGGGGAGTTCCAGTTGTCACCCACCCAGTGCCCTCTGATCAACGGTTCTTACACAGAACACACCCTTTTCTTCTCTCCAGCAACCTCTACCTGTCTTCGATACCATGCTCCCCATTTTACTTAAAATTCAGCTGCCATCCATCTCTCCTCCTCAAGCCCTCCTAGGACAACCCTCTTCCTGGCCAGGTGCCCTGCCTTCTCCTCCAGGGAGAGCCGGCGTCTGCACACGCTTGTCCACAGGCAGACACAGGTCGCCTCTCTCATTCAGTACCCTGGGAGGCAGACACGGGCTGCAGAGAAGCACCCCAATAACCAGAGGCCACAGAGGATAAGGGAAGCCATCCCAGAAGATAGCTCTAGAGTCTTTGGCTCTGCAGTTGACCTTAATAGACAGGGCACCCCCAACTCCAGAGGAGTGGCCTCCTTAACCCGTTGGCTGCCCAGAGCAGGCCACGTGGAATAGGTACCAGTGTTGCTGGAGATGAGAAGCGGGACCCTCCCAGGCCAGGCCTGCTTACCCAGCTGGCTCAGTGTCACCTGTGTGTTCCTCATGGCCTCAGCAGTGTTGACCCAAGCTGTGACCTATACCTGGCACTCCCTCCTTTCCCATCACCCCACCTCCCTCACACACTCAGGCCTGTCCTTTCTCCCCTGTCCTCCTCTCTCTCTCCCTCTAACTTGACCATTACACCCTTCTCTTCTTCCTCCCTCTGTGTGCTGGAACTCTCCTGCGTTTCTGCCTCTGCCCCCTCTTCCAAATAACACATGCGTGCAGGTCCAGTGAGCAAAGACTGTCAGACAGAGACAAAGGGCAAGGGAAAACTGACAGACAGAGCCAAAGGGCAAGGGAAAGGGCAGGTTTAGGGCTCTGCCCGCCCAGAACTTAAGTTTACTCTAATTAGATAGCAAACTTGCAAAGCCATACCTATGATTTTTTAATTTTCAAAACCAATCTGTTGTTAAACATAGAGTCACCATTTGACTCAGCAATTCCACTCCTAGATATACACCCGAGAGAAATGAAAACACACCCATACAAAAACCTGCCCACGAATGTTGATAGCAGCATTCTTCATAATAGCTAAAAGGCAGAAACCACCCACATGTCCATCAGCGGATGAATGGATAAACAAACTCTAGTGCATCCATACCACGAAGATGATTCGACCATAAATGGGAATGAAGTTCTGATCCATGCTACAAGATTCATAAACCTTGAAAACATTATGCTAAGTGAAAAAAGCTCGTCACAAAAGACCCCATAGTCTTTCCTAGATTTCCTAGAAGCACAACACCCAAGAGATGAAATCAATACAACTGACCAGCCTGTCCTCTTTTCCTATATAGATTTGGTGACATATTTATTACTGTCTTCTTATAAACTTGCTCGAATCTAGTAGCCCTTGGGATTGGCAAGTATTTGACAAAATCAGTTCCTCTTCTACTTGTGAAATGAAACATTGTCTGCCATCCAGTCCCTCTGTCATTCCTCCAATTCCAATTGATGCCATTGATAGGAAATGTCCGGATAGACAAATCCGTAAAGATAGAAAGCAGATTCATAGTTGCCTAAGGCTGGAGGGGTCCAAGGTTTCTTTTCTGTGTAATGAACGTGTTTTAACATTGATTGTAGCTCTATGAATATAATAAAAACCATTGAACTGTATGCTTTGAATGGGTGAATTTTATGGCATGTGAATTGTCACTCAAAAATGGTTTTTTGAAAACACCAATATATAAAATACATACAATTTGGCGTTTAAGTCCCAGAACTGGGTGTCATCGGTGATCCAGGGGTTGCTGGGAAGGCAGCCTGACATGATGGCATCGTTGGATGAGAACTGCTCACTGTATTTCACAATCCTGAAAAGCAAACAGAAAACAATTTCCAAGAAGCTCGACACCCAAGACATGACATCAATACACAGGTCAACTGACCAGTCTCTTTTCCTGTATTGATTTGGTGACATACTTATTACTGTCTTCTTTGAAACTTCCTCGAATAGAATAACCCTAGGGATTGGCAGATATTTGACAAAATCAGTCCCAATCCTACTTGTGAAATGAAACATTGTCTTCCATCCAGTCCCTCTGTCATTCCTCTGTATCTATTTCTTTCTTTTGTTTTTCTTTCTTTCTTCCTTTTTTTGAGACAGTCAAGCTGGAGTGCAGTGGCACAATCTTGGCTCACTGCAGCCTCCACCCCCCAGGTTCAAGCAATCCTCACACCTCAGCCTCCTGAGTAGCTGGGGCCACAGACGCGAACCACCATGCCAGGCTAATTTTTTTTGTATTTTTGGTAGAGACGGGGTTTCACCAAGTTGCCCAGGTTGGTCTCAAACTCCTGGGCTCAAGCGATCCACCTCAGTCTCCCAAAGTGCTGGGATTACAGGTGTGAGCCCCCACGCCCGGCCTTTCTGTACCTATTTCATTAAAATATGGCCTGTTTCTATTTTATCAATAGGTTTTTAGATTCAAAGCCAACTTGGAGTGTTCAAACTTGTGTCTCTGCACCCATCTTAGAAACCCAAAGTTGCCATAGACTCTAAGACTCTTGCCATGTTGGGTTCTACCCTTTGTCAGGATAATGCCTGGGTTTGGAAACTTAGGCCCATTATTTAAAACTGGGGCTTAATTGGCCCAAACACACTATTTGGAGGAAGGGCTAATTCCTTCTCTTCTAGCTATTTGGAAACACATACTATATTATTATTAACTACAGTCATCCTACAGTGCTACAGAACACCGTCTAACTGTAATTTTGTAACTGTTTTTTTTGTTTCTTTGTGTTTTTGGTTTTTTGACACAGCGTCTTGCTCTGTCACTGAGGCTGGAGTGCGGTGATGCAATCACAGCTCACTGCAGCCTTGACCTCTCAGGCTCAAGCCATTCTCCCACCTCAGCCTGATGATGAGATGGGACCACAGGCATGCGCCACCACACCTGGCTATTTTTTTAAAAAATTCTTTGTAGAGATGGAGTCTCACTATGTTGCCCAGGCTGATCTTCAACTCCTGGACTCGAGCAATCCTCCCGCCTCAGCCTCCCAAAGTGCTGGGATTATAGGCATGAGCCACCACTCCCAGCCTAATTTTTTATCCTTTAACAAATAGTTTCCTATCTCCCCTCCCCCCTGCCCTTCCCAGTCTGTAGTAACCTCTGTTCTACTTTATATACTTTCAAATAGCCAGAAAAGAATATATTGAATGCTCCCAACACAAACAAATGATAAACCTTTGAGATGATGGATATGCTAATTACCCTGATCTAATCAGTATACACTGTACGTACTGAAACGTCACTATGTACCCCAAACATATACAATTATGTGTCAATTTTTAAAAACTTTTCTAAAAAAGAGCTAATTCCATTGAGTTGAGTCAGACCTTCTGAGTTAGTACATCTCCTGCTGTCTGGGTATCGAAAACCTGCTGTGCCTCCTCCCCGTAGTTGGAAAATTGTGTCCACAGTGAATGTGAAATGCACCTGCCCTGAAGTCTTCCTTCAGCCATGAGATTTGGACAGAACAGGATCCACGCCTTAGAGATAAACCACTGGTGCCTTAGCGACAAGCACTGGGTTTGCAGTTCTATGCAGAACTCAAGCCCCCTGGCTTCTTCTCTCCTGAGACTCTCTTAGTCCACAATCAGACCTTTTTTTAATGTTTTTTTTTTGAGACAGAGTTTGCGCTGTCTCCCAGCCTGGAGCGCAGTGGCGCTCTCTCAGCTCACTGCAGCCTCCTCCTCCTGGGTTCAAGTAATTCTTGTGCCTCAGCCTCCTAAGTAGCTGGGACTACAGGTGCACACCACCATGCCCGGCTAATTTTTATATTTTTAGTAGGGACAGGGTTTCACCATTTTGACTAGGCTGGTCTTGAACTCCTGGCCTCACGTGATCTGCCTGCCTCGGCTTCCCAAAGTGCTGGGATTACAGGCGTACACCACCTCACTCGGCCCAATCCTTTACCAGTGCACACCAGGCCCAGACCTTTACCAGGCGCACACCACCTCACCTGGCCCAGACCTTTGCCAGCGGAGAAGCTGGAGGAAAATAACAAAAACAAAAACAAACAAACAAAAAAAAACTGGTTCACAGGTCAAAACACTAATGATGTCAAAATTATGGTAATAAATATTGGAAAGTATGTCTAAGAAATATCCTTGGATCTCCTTTCATTTTCTTTCTGTTTGGTTTCATGAAACTGGGTTTATGGAACACAGAAGTACATGGTTTTGAGTTTATCATAGAATAATGAGGATTATTATAACCCAAAGTGAGTGCCCCTGAGTACACAGGTGCCCTCCGCAGCTAGGATCAGGGCTCAGTAGCAGCAGAGTCACTGAAATGTGGGTGGGGTCAGGGCATATTTTCTCAGGCAGGTAGCATTTTTGCAAACTGGGGACATAGGAAGACATAAAAAAGTTTTACAAGAGCCCAACCCTTAACCATATTGAAGGAAGGCACTAAACAAAACAGAGCATCTTCAGTCCCGATTAGTACCATGACTTGAGTCTTACACAGTTAGAATACATGATTAGTCACATCGTGCCTCCCAGGAATAAGCCAAGTTTATTTTCATGTGTGCAGGAAAATCCCAGAGTTAGCAATGTGCTCCTAAAATAAATTCCGCATTTTAAAAGAATAACTGCTTGTATGTGGGAGGCGGCACTCAGCTCTTTCTTGTCTCCTAGATGATATCCTATGGGGGGCTGGGTCAAAGGAGCCAGAAAGTTCAACAAATCAAACATAAATGTCCAATTTATCTTCATGGGATTTTAAATCAAAGACGAACAACGGACATTTAGTAGCACATGGAACCAGTAAACATGACTCACGTACCCCTAATGAATTGGAAAGGGTAACAATAGGAACCCAGGCTGTCTTGGATCCTCACAGGGTCTTCAGTCCACGGACTTCCAACTCTTTCCAACTTCCCCATCCACACATTAGTGGATTCCAAGAAACATAACAGTCTTTTCTAGAATCTCACCTACCCTTGATTTTGTCTAACCCAAGATGAGACCCAGAGGCTTATTCTGAGAGATGAACTAGGAACTAAGCCCCCAAGAGACTGGTTTTGTCCTTCACAGTTCTGCTGAATCTTCAGTCCATCAGCCCAGGACCTGTTGAGTTTGCCTTAAAACAGAACTTCTCCTCTTGTCTTACCTATTGCTCAGACTTTAGCAAGATCAACAAATCAGGGACATACCCTCCCAGGGACACGGAAGACTTCACTGTGGACCTCATCAAGGCCTGTTGGTAATACATGATCTGGAAGAGACACAGTTGTCAGAAGGTGTTCAACCCCCCACCCTTCAGTGTGTCACTACACACAGCCTCCAAACCCAGAAGCCATTTACCCACAGCTGTACCCCATGCCCAAAGCCAGTCCCCTCAGTACCAGTGGGTCAGGCCCACGGTGGACAGATGACCACAGACTTCAAATCAGTGGCCTCCTTCAGCCATTATGTATTAGTCTGGGAAAAAGCATCAGCAGAAAAAAAAAAAAGTTGTAAGGAGCATTCAACTGAGACACGGGGACAAATACCTGACTTTTCCCTCACGTGCCTCTGGCTGACAGAAGCAGAGAGTGGTCCTCACCACAGGTGACATCCTTAAACTTCCTGATTCTGCAGCATTGGCCAAAGCAAGTTATCCCCTCCTCAACCACCTTCTTCCACGTTCAGATAGCTAACCGCACATCCCACCTCAATGCCCAATGCTTCCCAGGACTCTGTCTTGGGCCCCAGACATAAGATTTGCCAGAATAGGCAGTTTGTCACCTTGGGTACATTCTGGCCCTGTAATGATAGGCACAGGGGCCACGCTGGGGATGTAGAGTCTCTGCAGCCTGCAGCATTGGTTCACAGTCCTCTCTGGCCAGCCCTCAGCTCTGTGCCTTTGAGGGGTTTTTCAGACCCAGCCAGAGCTTACAAAAGATGCTTCATCACTCTGTGCCATCCATGAATTTGGAAATAATTGTTTGAACACAGCACATGGTTTTCATTTCATTACCAAGCGCAGAGGGTAAAGCAAAGTACATATAATCTGTCAGAAGATTTAAAACCATTCTTCACTGGAAGTGGAAGACTAATTACCTCTTTTTTGACAGCAATGACTGTTTGTTTCTGTAAAACAAAGAAACAAAACCATTAAACAGATGTCATGAAATCATTACAGCTCAAACACCCATTTGAAAAATAAAAATCCTTCCCCATGAGAAAAATGCCCATTTTCTGTCTTTCTTAAAAGGTAGGATTTCCCTGTTTCTACTGCCTCCACTCTATTCTATGTAACCCCTGTGGAATAAATACCAACTAAGAGATTTGGCAAGCGAAGGAGCAGAATTTGGCACTGTAACTTTGCTTGCCTAAAGGCCAAGATGAATTAAAGACTAAGTTTGGGATTGGTGCCAATTTAGCATAGTGCCTACAGAATGATCTGTAGAGTGAGAGATAAAGATTCCCATCTGAGATATGGATTAAGAGAAAATGGGGAAGGCCAGGTGTGGTGGCTCAAGCCTGTAATTCCAGCACTTTGGGAGGCCGAGGAGGGAGGATCACTTGAGCCCAGGAGTTTGAGACTAGCCCGAGCAACATGACAAAACCCCGTCTTTACTAAAAGTACAAAAAATTAGCCAGGCACAGTAGCGTGCACCTGCAGTCTCAGCTACTTGGGAGGCTGAGGTGAAAGGGTCGCCTGATCCTGGGAGGTTGAGACTGCAGTGAGCCATGATCATGCCACTGCATTCTAGCCTGAGTAACAGTGCAAGATCTTGTCTCAAAAAAGAAAAAAAGAGAGAGAGAGGAGATAGAAAAACTAGCACAGAGCTTGGGTGTTGGTTTCTTTTGTAACGGGGAGAGCTCTGAAGCAATGGTGAGATGCATTCCTCAAAGAGTCATAACAACTTGACCAATAATATAAGTTAAAAAATAAACCAATGTTACCCAAAATAAAGCACATAATGGAAAGGCTTGAGGCCAGCATGCACTGCGTGCACAGCTCCAAGAGGGGCTTCATGTTCAGGCTCTTAGAAGCTCTTGGAAGCCATTCAGATCTATCTCTGGCTAAAATACATAGATCTGCCGTTGCAGTGGGCTGTGCTTCGTCTGTGCTGCTTTTCTGCTCCACGGAACTCTTAGAGGTTGGGCAAGGTGGTGATCCCAGCCTCAGTTCTCCTGGGTTTGGTTGTGTCCAGGGGCTGGTTGGTACTGACTCTTACACTTCAAGAGGAGCCTCTTTTTTGTTGTTGTTTGTTTGTTTGTTGTTGTTGTTGAGACAGAGTCTCCCTCCGTTGCCAGGCTGGAGTGCAGTGGTATGATCTCAGCTCACTGCAACCTCCACCTTCCGGGTTCAAATGATTCTCCTGCCTCAGCCTCCCAAGTAGCTGGGACTACAGGCACGCACCACCACGCCCAGCTAATTTTTGTATTTTTAGTAGAGATGGGGATTTACCATGTTGGCCAGGATCGTTTCAATCTCTTGACCTCGTGATCTGCCTGCCTTGGCCTCCCAAAGTGTTGGGATCACAGGCATGAGCCACCTTGCCCGGTCTCACGCAGAGCCTCTTAATTCCTGCCTTGCTAATATCCGTGCTGCTTAAGCCCCCCAAGTCTTCACTTGGAAAAGAGTCGTAAATCTGAGGAAGACACTACTTCCTTTGAGCCAGTCAGCAAAATAAACACTGGTCCATGAGCCCATTGAAAAGAAGTAAAGGAGAGTCCAATCTAGACTGTGATATACTCGTCTCTCCTTTCTAACTCAGGCTGGGCTTCATTTTGCTTCCCTGGATTGCTTTTCTATCTTTGCTTTTCACAAGAAATCTTTTTTCCTGCATAAGGGATTAGGAAGAGTTATCTCAGAAAGGTAAGGCTCATGTAGTTCTTTATGTTTTAGGCTCTTATACATCCTGACTTGCTCCTTCATAGCACTGATCACCATTTGAATTTTATCCTTATTTGTGTGACTCTTTGTTCAATGTATGAACCAATATGAAGGCACCATTAAGGGCAGGGGGCCATGTCTATCTTCCCTAGCACAATGTCCGACGCAGAGTAGATGCTCTGTAAATATGTAATAAATGATGACTTCATTGTGCTTGGGGGCCTAGAATAATGGGGACATTTTCTAAGCTTAATAGCATTTTTTTCCACTAAAAAATGGAAAGCACTCCCCAAATGATCCAAATGCATTGGCAACCATACTTATTTGATCCCATTCTCCTCCAACATAAGGCACTGTTTTAGAAGATGCACATTTCAGGTAGAAAAGGACCGTGGGGCCAGAGTGGACTAACATTTAAATCTAATACTGTATAATTACTTCCTTCTGCTGGAGCCTTGCTGGAGTGGGTTATTCAGAATAGCATCTACTGGTCTATGCCCTCTGCTCAAAGGGGGAGCTGTACTTTTACATAATGATAACTGCCTAGCAACTACTGTGAAGCAATTTACACTTCTTTGAGCCTTTACAAAGCTTAAGGTAAGGAGATTTTATTATACTCATTTTTAGCTGAGGAAACAAAGCTCCTGAGAGGTAGTAAGTAACCTTCTCAACACCTCCTGGTCAGTAATTGGATGGGCCAGGATTCATATCCAGCTCCTCCCTTTGCAAAGCTGAAGAGTGATTGTTGAGAAACACAAACTAGCTGATCCTGTTCACTTTCTCCTCCTAGCCTGCTCTCTTCCCATTCCTTCCTTGCCCTGAAGCTGAGAGTGCCACAGGATGGAATGACTCTGTCCAGTGACTTAATTTAAAATGTAAACAAGGCCGGGTACAGTGGTTCACGCCTGTAACCCCAGCCCTTTGGGAAGCTGAGGCAGGCAGATCACCTAAGGTCAGCCTGGCCAACATGGTGAGCCCCTCATCTCTACTGAAAATACAAAAATTAGCCAGGCATGGTGGTGCACACCTGTAATCCAGTTACTTGGCGGCAGGGGGGAGGAGGGGGCGTGGTGGTGGAGGCGGGAATGATGCAGGAGAATTGCTTGAACCCAGGAGGTGGAGGCTGCAGTGAGCCGAGATCATGCTATTGCACTCCAGCCTGGGCGATAGAGCGAAACTCCATCTCATAATAAATAAATAAATAAAATGTAAAGCAAAAGTGAATTAGAGCCTAACACAAGACAAACACAAGTACCAGAAACACTCTGTCCTTAACACTCATGATGGTGAAGACCAGAATCATGCTAGGCCCCTACTCAGCAGCCAGTGTCTTAAGCACCTCCAAGGAGTCCAGACCCCAGCATCAAGCTTTCTGCCTGTCGGCCACTGTTCTGCAGCCAGAACCTGGGGGCACAGGGCTCCTGAGTGGACGCACCCTGGCTGCCTGGTGTTCTCTGGGCCCTGCAGGGAGCTGTATTTGCAGGACTTTCTGCCATGCTCATTTCCATTCTGTCTCTAGGGGGTCTTCCTTTGGCCTAATATACATGCTTCTAGGGCCATTATCTCAGTCTTCAGGGGTTTACAATTTGTATACTCCTGTTCGCTTCATTTGATTTTATTCTCTCCCTAGGGCTCTGCCTCTGCGCTGTAGTTTGCTATTTTGTTTTCTGATTCCCAGAATTACCAGTTACCTTCCGGGAATGGAACTGCAGCCTGCTCTCCATTAATAGGATTTGGTTGAAGGTGAGACTTTCCCACCTCTACCTTGGATCGTCCACATGAATTTTAGCTTGTATTTCTAGCTTTAAAAATAGCTGTCCAAGTTGCGTACGTTGAAGGACAGTGGCTGCGGAATGTGTGGCTTTGGCTAGATTGAAATCATGACAGGTCCAGAAAATGATGCCCAATCCCAGGCACTAAAATCCATTTCAACTTTTAGACGCTCACCAGGAGAATGAGTTGTGTGCTGGCCACATACGGAGGCATTGTTTTGATGACCTTTCACTCCAAGTCAAGATCTAAAAAAACTCCAGCTGTGAAAGCAACATAATGGATTCTAAACTGTCTGTGCCTCCTCCATTAAGTTCTCATGCCTGGAGAAGCTCATGTCAACTTGTCATGTGATAATTCAATTTGTACAATAAATTATGAACCTGGAAATATTAGCCGTCCATGGGATCTGCTTCCTCTACGTTGACATACAGGGATCTCTGCTCTTCTAGGAGTGCGTGCAGGGAGAGGACAGTGAGGGAAAACAGTCCTGAACTTCTCTAAAAGGTGAAGAGACAATTTGATTTGGAGGGAGTGGTGGAGAAGAGATTCAGGAAAGAGTATGGATGGTGATACATGCCTGTGGTCCCAGCAACTGCTGGAGGCTGAGGCCAGAGGATTGCTTGAGCCCAGGAGTTTGAGGCGACAGTGAGCTAGGATGGCACCACTGCACTGGAGCATGGGTGACTGAACAAGACCTTGTCTCAAAAAAGAAAGAAAGAGAGAGAGAGAGAGACAGATAGAAGGAAGGGAGGAAGGGAGGAAGGGAGGAAGGAAGGAAAGAAGATAGGAAGGAAGGAAGGAAGGAAGGAAGGAAGGAAGGAGAAAGAAAGAGAAAGAAAGAAAGAGAGAGAAAGAAAGAGAGAGAAAGAAAGAAGGAAGGAAAGAGGGAAGGAAGGAAGTAAAGAAAGAAAGAAAGAGAGAAAGAGAAAGAAAGAAAGAGAAAGAAAGAAAGAAGGAAAAGAAAAGAAAGGAAAGAGAGAGAGGAGGGAGGGAATGAAGGAGGGAAGGAAAGAGAGAAAAAGGAAGGAAGGAAGGAAAGAAGGAAGGAAGGAAGGAAATAGAAGTATATGGGCTTTGGGGGTCAGACAAAGGTTAAAATCCTAGTCCTACCACTTCCTGGCTATGACCTTGGATGAGTTGCTCAGCATCTCAGAGCCTCTAATTTCTCATTTGTAAAAGGAGAATAGAAAAAAAGAGGGACTAAATGAGATAATAGACATAAGGTGCCTGGCACATAACAGAGACCCACACACAGAGCCTACTCATTAGGGCTACTACACCACCACTGAGCACGTGCACGCCACAATTTTAGCCCTCATCGTAAGATACAACGCAGGATTCACAGGCAATATTTGGGACCTACTTATGTGAAAAAGATATTCATTACTTACCTGAAATTCAAACATAACTGGGAATCCTGTATTTTTATTTGCTAAGTCTTGCAAAACTACTATCAATATTATTATATCTT